TAACACTTCAGCACGTGAGACAATGGCATCGGAGGGCTAATTTAAATCAGATGAAGTCAGATCTCTTACAGTTAGCAGCTCAGGAGGTTTTAAAGGAAGGAGGCCGTGTTTATATCAGTTTTGCTGTTGTTGTATTTACCTGTTTCACTGTGGCAAATTGGCAAAAGCACCCTTTTCTGGAAATCGACATGATCCGTGCTCTAAATAGGTGCTTACTTAATCTCTTAAAAACTGTGAAGATTATCCAAAGAAGGATTTGACTTCACAAATAGATATATAGATATTTTGATAACTACAGCAGCAAAGTGATGGTGTCTCAGGGTTAAATGGAGGTAAACCTGAGGAACAAGCTAGCCTTTTCATAAACTGATTAGTAAGCATGAAAGGAAGAAGTTGTGGGAAATGTGGCTGAAATCTGTGGCTAGGCCTTTATCTGCTGTAGACTGTTATGTTAGCTTTTGTAACAAAGCCTTGTAGAATATCACAGATATTAAATGTGTGGTGCTCATTTTAACATTACTAGTGCAGTATGTTATTGACCAGCTAATTATGCTGAATTCCATTTATAAACATAGCTAACCACTAAGTTTATGGAGACTTTTTGTGCTGCTTTAATAGGATATTGATTGAGAGCAAGGTTTGAGTGGGCGGCCATTGAATTGTGTAATGGCATACAAAAGGCAAGGTCACTGCAACGGTTGATTCTAAGCCTGCCGTCTATTTTGTATTATATTTTTTCTTTTTTCGCGTCTGCCTTTTCATAGCCAAACTCGGGTTGCAGCCTGTGGGCAGTGGTGCTTTGCTATTGAATATGAACTTAGCTTCTTTAGCGTTTAGTTTCATGCTGCTGATTTTTAACTACTCCTCTTACAATATTGATTAGCACAGCGGAAAACTCAAAGGCTTGTGCAAGGAGAAACAGTGTAGCTATCTTGCAGCAGAATATAAGAGATACAACCCTTCAAAATACTGGCTGGTCAATCATCTTTCATTCAGCACTTCTCATACAAAATCAGCTCCTAGCTGAGATTGCGTTTGTATGAACAATCCTGAACACCGCTTAAATTGAAATGTAGTCAGTGACAGTTGAGAAGGTTGCATAATTTCCACCAAATTATTCAATATAATACAACAAGTGAACCCTTTCCACTAGTGGTTAACTAGTTAAAGAGGGGGAATTGCATAACCACAGGCACTCTATCATGATTTTATTTATTCCAAGCACAGTAAGAGGTTCTGAGCCAAACCACAAAGGTCCCTGGCTAAGGTCATACCCTGTTTGCCATTTCTACCTAAAAGTGCTCTGGCACTCATATTTATTGACTAGTGACTAATTGCCGGGAGCCATTCTACATTTTCAGGTTTCAGCTATTGAGAAAACTGCTGCTGCTCTGGATCCAGGGATCTGTTGCAACAGGCTGCATGATCCTAAGGTCTGCTTAAATCACTCTATACACACAGGTCTGGTTCGCAGGACACAGTAACCCAACCTTACCACGTGGATGTTGCAGGTATCCAAAGGGGAACGCGTCACTCTGCTCCTCCCTGACCTTTGCATGCTGTACTGAGCTAATCCAAGATTTCACATAGCATGTTGTCCAAACCCAGGCCCATGATTAAGCTCTCTCCTCGCTAACCATAAGCTGTAGTCAAAACCAAACCATGGTTAGAGCTTGTGGTTAGTCTGGACAGAACTTAACCACAAGCCTGTGTTTGGATGACATGCCAACTTGCTCAGTGCAGCAAGCAAATAAAAAAGATCAGGGAAGAGCAAAGTGCTCCAAGTTCCTTTTTGCAAGCCCACATGTTTGTGTGGTCCTGGTAAACCAAAAAAATAAACTGTGCCTTTCCTGCCAGCTTTCAGCAGTGTGAATAATTCAGGGCATGATTCAGTTAATGAGTTCCGTCAATGGAAGCCTGAGCAATGACTTTCGCCTGTGCAATGGAGCTTTCCCATCTCTCCTTCCTCAGTATGCCCCACACCCCTGAAATTGGCTTGGGGGCGGTCAAGAAAACCCCCAGAACAGTGCATGAGTGGAGGGGAGGAGGGAATCATTCCATATGACAAGCTGAAATGCTTGCACTGGCAAAACAATCGACACAGTATGATGTTGAATCCCTCTCATTGTTTCTTGCTTCCACAGAAATTACCATGTTAAATCCCTGTGTATGTTAATTTCCCAACAACATTACATTCTAGTCAGCAGGCTTAGGTGCCTCAAACTAGAGTTGTTAGATTTTTTGTAGAATCAAATATCTTAAGCCAGAGATAAACTGTGTCAACTTCCATCCTGACCACTTTATAGCAGACTGGGATCAATGATGATGATGATGATATTACCCTATACCTGCTGGTCTCAGGACAGTTCACAGGATAAAATCAGAATATAAAACTACATAATCAAAATAAAAACAACAACAACCCAATAACCCCCCCCCAAGGTTCTACCAAGTTCAAAACTGCAATGGCAGTAGTCACAATGTACCACCAATTCACTGGGACCTCTTTGTTGCAATACCTTTTGCTCCCTCCCATCCTGCACTTTCAGCCTCCGTGATACAGCCCAAAACCAGAAATCTGTCTAGCCTTACAAAATCTTCAGGTCAAAAGGTGATAAAAGAGGAGGTTTGACCTCCCAAGGTGATTGTGGGGAGTCATGCTGTACATGAGAGCTCGCTGCTTTATTGCTTTTTAAGCAATAATGATTCATGCTGTACAGTAGTTGAATTATTGCAAGTTTCAAACACTAGGGTGCCACCTTATGCCAATCTAAAACATACATTTCATTTTAGTTTCCTATTGCCAGAGACGCTACATACAATTCACCTGTTTGTGTGACAGTGAAACAGATTGTTCTCTGTTGCTTTAACGGAAGAGTCTAACCAAAGGCTGCACACCTAGACAGTCAAATGCCAGGCAGCAGTACCACAAGATTCAGTTTTTCCTAGGTTTTCTAGTTGGAATAAATTATATCATCCTTGTCGTGTTTGGTTTACTGTTTGAATATATAAAGTAAAATATTGACTAGAAGTTTAATAACTAGAGCAGGTGAAAAATAAGCTTATTAATTTGATGTGTGGATATGAGTAGTGTGGATGTGTGTGTTTGAGTGGGGAGGATCCCTCTGTCAGTACTTTAAAATTATTGCATCAACACGAGGATCTAAGTGTGACCAGATGGGCATATAGATCTCTTATGTACACAGAGATCTCCATTTAGTTTAATGGGATAGTGATCCATATGTGTAATAAACTATGCATATAGATTGGCACCTTCCACTGAAATGAATATGGACATTTCTCTGAATATGTGTTGGAGCAAATGAAAAAGTAAGCCACCCCCCCCCGCAGAATTAGAGAAAAGTCTGGCAAAAGCATTCCTAAAATGGCAGTAATAATTAACTGGAGTTAGATTATGATTTAAATGTAGTTTTTCACTGGAGATGAAAATCAGCAAAGCACTAACTTCTTGAGCCCTGGGACAATGGAGTCCATTTCTCCTTGGACTGTCTGGATTATGTCATAGTAAAATACAATCAAGGAACCTTTGATCAATTGAACAGGGTGGTGACAGGTACTCCTAATTCACTGTTGTTAGTGAATATTGACAAACTGGTAATGATCATACTGCAGAATGTCATTCAGACCAAGAATATTAGCATTATTTAAAGGTCAAAAGCAATAGCTTCATACAGACAGAATTCCATACAATTCCAGCATCAGATACTTCACATTCTACATAGAATGACCGTATATTTCAGCACAAGAATCATTATTTTCAAAAAGACTGGGCATGACCCCATATTTGTGCAGGAATCTGTATTTAAAGGTTGCTAAACCACTGGTTGTATAAATCATCAGTGTTACATCAAACAGATATTGCACATGCATGTACACAGGTGGTGCAAATGCAAAGCCTATGCTATTGTGCATTAAAAGACCGACTGTTTAAAGTTTGGTTAAACATTAACGTTCTAATTTCAAAAATGTAGAAATGGGCTCTGAAAATATTTGCAATGTGATGCAACTGTTCTCAAACTGTGGGTCCTGACACATCGGTGAGTTCTGACCTGTTCCTAGGTGTACTGAACAATCAGCATTTGTTTCCCCTCTATTCCGAGGGCAAATGGATAAGAGCCAGCCATTTATATCTTCTTCCACTAAGCCTGTCAATTCTCGAGCACATTCTACACAGAAACATATATGCAAAGTTATGCCAACTTTCTAGCCCTCAGGGTTCCTTGTAGTTGGTCACCCAGCTCCTCTCTGCTTCAAGTCACAGTGTAGAAGTATTTTTGTGTGTGTGTGATAACACCTTTATTGTGCTTTATGTAAATGGCTTAGGCAGGCATGGCCAAACTTGGCTCTCCAGCTGTTTTGGGACTACAATTCCCATCATCCCTGACCACTGGTCCTGTTAGCTAGGGATGATGGGAGTTGTAGTCCCAAAACAGCTGGAGAGCCAAGTTTGGCCATGCCTGAGCTTAGGGATTCTGCGTATTATTATTATTATTAATAATAATTATTATATTGTTATAAATAAATAGCAAACAACAGTGGCACACAATAGCAATGCAGAAACACAACAGCAGCTCCCTCCCATCGATTGGGACTAGCAGGACAGAGCAACCCAATCAGTTGCAGTTTCTTCTAGAGTGCCGTTCGGTGGCCATATATGTCCTTAATCAGTGTAACATCACAAATTGCATCAGGCTAGAGTCTGCATGCATGCTTTGCTTTTCTACTACAGCAATTTGTAGGACAGCAGGTTTCAGAATGAACAACGTCCTTTTGTAAAATCAGGACCCTATGACTATAATATGATACATCCGACCTAATTAGAAATATAGCATGATTTACTTGATGTAAGGCATGGTGAACTGGAGAATGAATGATCAGTTTCATAAAACGTTTTGCATAGTAATCATGAGGGATGGAGGAATCAGAGAAAGAAATATGTCAAAGTAAGATATTCTAATGTAACTACAAATTATACTTACTTTGTGAGACCCTTACTAGCTCAGTCACACTGAAAACGCCTGATGTGACAAAACTGTCTTGGAAGCCCAAATGTCCTACAAAACACAAGAAAATTATAGATGTGATTAATTTTAAGCACTTAATGACAGTATTCTTAAATACTTCACTATCTGTTTAATGTGAATGAAATTGAATATTTAATTTTCCACTTATCACTAATTGCTGTTTAGGTAGGCAGATATATGGTTAGAGTTTAGGAAAGTTAACATGACAGATTAACAGGGAGAATTGTATATATTAAAGCATCACAGCTGGAAATCTGAAACAAAAGAAGCTCATTTTAATAAACAGTTACCTCAGATGACCCTAAAGACTTAACAATTGAAATTAAAATACTGTACCTAGGAATCAGATGGGACAGCTAAGTTCTTTAATCGTTTTAAACATTATTCTCTAAAGAAACATCTGATCAGGATTATCTACTCATTCATTCAAACAAAACAAGATTTAAAGATGTACTCTTCTTTTCTGAGGTTACATTAGGGAAATCTTAAAATAGCAGCTGTTAAAAAATCTTGAAAATGAATGCTTTTCACATAAAAAGAAAAAAAAAACTCTTTAAAATGAGCTTTTCAAAACAGAAACCAAATCTTTGCATAAGAAAGCTTTAACTCTAATCCTCTGAATTTCTTTAAGAGACAAGGCGTATGCTTGCTTGCCGGTTTCATTTGTGTAAGGGATATTTTATATCAAAATGTTATTACACTTCCCATAACAGTATTTCCCTTTTTCTATGAAAACATGTCTATCACCAAATGTTAATTTAATTTTCTGGGTATAATCAATTACAAAACAAGAAGCCTTCAAACTGCAAATCGGGTAACAAGGAATTCTGCTGAACCAGATACTATAGTTCATACAGTACATATCAGGACTTCAATTAGAGGTCTGTGGCTGATAGGGCAGCCTGACCTATTGCTTTTGAAATCAGGGTCAAAGAAATCTGAGGATAAAGGGATTATTAAAAGAACTGTAAAGTTGTTCTTGTCCATAGGATAAGTGGCATACATTTTAAGGTTGTTCTAATTAAGATTACCAAGTCTAACACACACACACACACACGTATATTATTTAATGTAATATAAAGCTTTGCTATGCCCAGACATACTAAATTCCTTCAGCTTCAGTTTCATTGATTTCATTTCCAAATTTCCGAAAATACTTTTTATTTATTTAAGTTCTTGCATAATATAACTCCCCCCACAAAAAACCCATATGCACACAATTTTATATTTATTTTGCCTGCAAGGTTTAATTGAACTCGAATGATTTATTTTGATTTATCAAAAATTAAAATTGCAGGTCCATTACTGTTAAAGTGTTTCAGTATTGATATAGCATTATTAGAAGCAGCCTTTGTACATTCTCCATTCAAGCAACACATTCAAGCTGATTTCCCAATAAATAATGTAGGGCTGGAAGCACATTTCTTCAGCCCACTGGCACCAGCAGAATCCTGAATCTGCCAGCATTATTTTCATTTCTATAACCCAGGTTTACAGCGTTTGAGCAAACAGTAAAAGCCAGGTGTTATTAGCTAACATTTCTCCTCAAGACTTCCGGAGGCGGCGCGTTCGGTAATGGCTGCCTGCTCCTTGTAAGGAGAGGGGAGCTCCGCTGAAAACGGGTCGTCCGCTACGGCGAAGCGGAGACCCACCTAGGAAAACCACAGGGGGTAAGAGCCTGTGGTCCTGAGACCCGGCGGGTGCCAGAAGCAGCCCCTAAAACGTTGAAGGGACCCCGTAACGGGGCTCCGGATCGCGGAGGGGGTAGCGGCACTGAGGGTCGTTTCGCAGTCAGCGGAGCGAAGCCGCGCTGCTGTTGCCGATCAGCGCTGACCTTTCTTCCTGAAAATTTTAATTCTGGAAACTACAACCCGTGAGTAATTGGAACTTTACAAATTTTAAGAATATTAAGAGATTTTGAATTTGGCTGAAAGCGGAGTGACGAGAAACAGGAAGTCCGTCTTCCGGCAAAGCTTACAGATCAAAGGCAAAGGAACTGACAGGCTGGACGCAGTGAAAATGGATTTTAAAGTGGAAGTACTATGCGTCTGACAGCACTGAGGTTTGAAGGAAAGGCAAGTTTTCTTAATAATTTATTCTAGAGCGTGGAAACAATTTGGGAACCTCCTCCCCTGGTGGACTTTAAAGTTTAAGACCCAGCCTCGGGGTGGCAGGGGAAAAGAATGTCTTTTGCTGATACAATTTATAAAATTGAAACAGATACATAGAGGCAACTTTGGACTATATAACTAAGTAACTGTATCTTGTGCCTTGAGAGGTGATACATGTGGCAACTTTGGAAGGGCTCTGCTAGTGGAAAAATTTTTAAGGACTATTGGAAAGTTATTTAGCTGCAGGAGCTTTAATGGCGACTATAACTTTTTTCCTTCCCTCTTGAACTTCAACTGTACTCCCTCCAACTATACTCCCTCTAGTGGAGACTGGGATTTACAATTCCTTGGGAACTAACTTTGTTTTGTCTCTCCGTTGTTGCTATCTACACTGAGGCCTGTCCTTCCCATGGAACTTTTGACAGCTTGACCTTGACTCATAGACAGGTGGGGAATGAGTGGCCAACCGAAAACAAGATCTAAAACGAAAGCAACAAAAGGCCAGCTGGTGCAAACAACCCTGACCTCTCAGTCACGTAGATCATCAGTTCCTGCTATACTGAAGGGAATTGAACTTCCAACAGTAGCTGAACTGAAAGGAACTGAGCCTTCAGCAACGGCTGAACTTAAGGGTGCTGAACAACCAGCAATTGAGGATATGGCGGCAGGTGGATCTGATGCACTTCTGAAGGAAATGCTACAACAATTTGCAATCTTAAATAAGAAGGTTGATGACCAAACAGCAAAAATTGATTTAGCCACATCCTCTATTACAAAGCTATCTGAACAAGTGGCACAGCACTCACAAACAATTGGGAACCTAAAAGACGCTACGTCTGAGAACCGGAAACTGGCCGAAGCTGCGACCGAAAAAGCTGACCAAGCAATTCAAAAAGTGGAGGAACTGAAAGGAGAAGTAAGGCCACTACACAAGCACATCGGTGACCAGCAGGCCTACCTGTCTATGGTGGAATTGAGAAACAGGGAAAATAATTTAAGATTACGCTCTATCCCAGAGATTGAAAAAGAAGATTTGACTGGCTTTTTGACAGTAGAATTCTCCAAATTCTGGGGAATAAAGGAAGACGAAGACTTTAAAATAACAACGGCATTTAGACTGGGAAGTGTTACCAGAAAGGACAGACCCAGAGACTGCCTGATCATCTTAAAGACTAAACAGGAGAGAGACAAAATACTTGACCTTCATTTTAAAAAATCACTTGAGATCCGGGATAGAAGAGTGGAAATTTATAAGGATATACCAAAACAACTATTGGATCTCAGAGCCATCTACACTGACCTAGCAAGACTTTTGAGAGGCAACGGAATACCTTACAGGTGGGAGTTTCCACAAGGCTTATCATTTAAATACAGAGGAAAGAAGGTTAGAATTAAGTCAAAAGAGGACAACCAGAAGTTCCTGCACGACAACGGAGAAGATCTTCAGAAGGGAACAGCAGTCCCTTGGCCTCAGCCACAACCCGGACCTGAACCAACACCATCTCCCTCGGACCCGGACAAAAAGGAGGACACCCCATAAAGAGCAACAACAGATTGATACAGGATGTCTCTGCAGCTGTACAGTTGGAACATTAATGGCGTAAATTCCCCGGAAAAACGAAAAAAGATCTTCCATATTTTGAAAAAGGAAAATTTGGATATAATTTGCTTGCAGGAAACGCACGTGACTAGGCTCCAAAGGAAAGTACTGATTAACAAAAGACTAGGCCAAGAATTTATCTCATCAGATAAAGTAAAAAAGAGGGGCCTGGTGATCTACGCAAAGGAGAACCTAGCACCAAAATTTTTGTTTAAAGATGAGCAAGGGAGAATCTTGGCAATTGAAATACAATCCCAAGGAGAAAAAATTTTGATATTAGGAATTTATGCACCAAATGAGGGGAAAGCGGAATTTTACAAGAAGCTACATGAGACACTAATGGACTATCTGGACTATTCGAACATCATTATGATGGGAGATATGAATGGGGTGGTCTCCACTTTGATGGATAAGTCACAAAATCAAATAACTAAGGACGGCAGACTACCGAAAACTTTTTTTGAACTGACAGACAATATGGATTTGCTTGACATTTGGCGGACAAAGAACCCCCTAGGTAGAGAGGGAACTTTCTTCTCTGAGGCCCACTCATCATGGACGAGAATCGACCAAATTTGGACAACTAGAGGGCTGGCACCGAAGACTACAAGAGTGGAAATCTGCCCAAAGACTTGCTCCGACCACAACGCCCTGAAAATGGAATTGAGACTTACTCCAACCGGTTCCTTCAGATGGAAAATGAATGACACCCTCTTTAGAGATCAAGAGATCGTAAAGAAGGCCCAAAAAACTTTAAAGGACTATTTTGAAATCAACTTGAACACTTCAGTGGAAAAAAGAACAATCTGGGACGCCGGTAAAGCTGTAATGAGGGGGTTTCTGATACAACAAAACACAATTAAGAAAAAGCTCTGGAATGGGAAAAAGGATAAAATATTAGAGAAGATAAGAGATGGAGAGAAAAGGTTGAGATCTAATCCAAAATCCAAAGAGATCTTGCGAGAAATTAAATTCCATCAGGCACAATATTCGAAATTGATAAATCAAGAAGTGGAATGGAAAATTAAACAAATGAGACAAAGATCCTTTGAGTCAGCAAACAAATGTGGGAAACTGCTGGCATGGCAGTTGAAAAAAAGACAGAAACTTAATTATGTTACCAATCTAGAGGTGGAAGGGAAAAATATCCAGAAACCAGGTGAAATTAGAAAGTGTTTCCAGAAATACTTCAAAAAGTTGTATACACAAGGGCCTGAGCAAGTGTCTGAGATGGAACCTCAGCTAACCTGAATGGCAGAGTATCCAGCTCAGAACACAAAATCAATGCAGGCTTTACAATTGTGAACCGCATTCACAAA